TTACATTGTATAAACTGAGGGGAAGAATATATTTAGAATAGAAGTATGACTTTTGAAAAAAAATAATTTAATACACTGATGCTGCATCTGTCACCCTTGAGTTCTGCACTGAGAACTGCGTTATTAACCACTTGCCCTCCAGAGGATTTACTTACCCCCCCCCCCCCCTTTCTGATCAGGCCATTTTTTTGCGCTACAGCGCTGCGTTACTTTGACATCATGCAAATGAAATTTACGTTCTTTTTTTTTTTTTCCCACAGATTGAGCTTTTTTTTGGTGGTATTTGATCGCCTGTGCATTTTTTAAAATTTTTTGCACTATAAACGAAAAAAAGGCTGACCAATTTTTGAGAAAAAAAACTGTATTTTTGACTCTTTGCTATTAAACATGTCCAGTAAAAAAAATTAAAAAAATCGTCTTTGCTAAAAATAACCCAATATGTGAAAATTAATTGGTTTAAGTGAAAGTTATAGTGTTTACAAATGGCGGTATATATACTGGAGAATTATTATTTTTTTTTTTTACTAGTAATGGTGGAGATCAGTGACTTGTAGTGGGACTATGGAGGGGCATTCTGACACTGGGGGAGAACTGACTTGGTATCATCGACATCCTCAGTGACTAAATAAAGCACTGACACTGTACTAATGACACTGGGCGGGAAGGGGATAACATGAGGGGCGATCAAAGGGTTAACTGTGCTGGGAGTGTTTTACTGGGGGGCGGTGTGTTGGTGCTTCATTGTAAGCACACGGCTCTGGATGGATGTGCTGTTCACAGCCATCCAGAGTAGTTAGTGTGCCTGAGCTGACAGGGAGGAGGGCTGTTGGTAAACAAAGCAGCCCTCCTCCCGTTGGAGATCCTTGGTAATCACCGGACGGGACCCGGTGATTGACAGCTGTGGCCGCAAATGGAGGCACGGGTAGGGCGCTCGCACGCACCCCCTACCCGGAAATACAAAATCACGTGTATATACGTGATTTTGTGCACCCTGCCGCCCTGTAGCAGTATATCTGCTATAGGGCGGCAGGGATGTAGTTAAACCCCGCTGATTGCTCAGTAATCCCCTCCAATCTGAGAGCTGTGACTGTCAGTCTCCAGCTCTTTTCTGCCCCTCGAACGCTCACTGGAGTGCTGGGCTGTGGAAGGGGCAGGAGGGCCTGTCTTAGACTCTTAGCGGCTCATTTAAGAGGCTGAGCCAGGTTCTGGTCCAGGCTCCTGCATGGATCCTGATCACATGGTTGATATCTTTTCAGATCCTGGACCTGCTGAGTGATGTCAGCCAGCAGCAGACTTTAGCCCGCTGTTGGCTGAAAACAGGTCACAGGAGTGCAGAACAAACTGCACTCCTATGTCATACAGATGTACAGCCAAAATGGCTTTGACTATACTTCTCCTCTGTAATACCATTGCCTGTTCCCTGTCACTTGGGACCAGCTTCTCCCAGTCATCTTTTATGGGGCCAATATATTGTGACTTCGCAATGTTACTGTTAATATATTTGAAAAACAACTCTCCTCAGCAGTTTCTCCGCTGCACCTGCCGACTAACAGTTTGGCCCACTCTCTATTAATTAAAACTGTCTCTGGTTCGAAGGGTGCATTCTCCAGACTGCATGTTTCACTCTTTCTACAGATCAATAGAATTCAGATCAGAGCACATAGAAGGCTCCTTCAGAATAGCAGTGTTTTCTTAGCCATTCTTGTGTGCTTTTAGCTGTATGTTTTAGGTCATTCATTTGTAGATGACCCACAACCTGCGACTTAGACTGAGCTGTCACACTGATCAGTATGTTTTACTTCAGAACTCCTTCATAGTCTTGGGATTTCATTGTGCCCTGCACATATTCAAGGCACCCTGTGCCAGGTGCAGCAAGCAATGCAGGTAAAGCAGTTGTACAGGCAATTTAAAAAAAAAAAGATAAACGTTTAATAATTGGGGAAGGTGGGGGGGGCTGAGCACAGCAAGTGATGAAATGTTTTATACGTTAATGCAGGAAATAAGTTCACCATTGCAACATGTTACACCTGTTTTTAGGGTGGAACATGCTCCTATAGCTGCAGCTGCGCCCCTCCCTCTGACAGTATGGGGAAACTTTTCAGATTTGAAAACCACAGGGCCATGTGCGGCTCTGCCCACATGGCTGCATTACTCATTCACTGACTTCCATGAATGAATGAACTGCAAGTCCCAACTGCCTTAGTAGCTTTCGGCTTGTAGTTTTCAATGAATTACCACGGTGCACCATGGAGCACCGTGGTAGTTCATTGAAGCTTCCTTCCAGTATACCTGCTTGCTCGTACATTCTGTACCTGCATGAGCATCAGAGATCTACTGATCGCTGGTGCAATGCTTTCCAGGCTCTTTTTTGGACAAAAATAATAAATGTGCATTATTATTTTTGTCCATAAGGTGAACTTATCCTTTTTAAGGTGAAAAAAATGTTTTAAACGTAAACCGTAAAACCCAAATTTTGGGTTGTCCCTAGAAAAGTAATAGAGGGCAAATCTTCCAATGGGGACACTAGTTCTGGTGACTTGGGGGACCTCAAGAGATTGCCTTAATTTGCAGGAATTTCCTCTCACATCCTGTTTGGGCTATGGGACAGGAAGTGAAGGTAAATCTCCTCTATGGGACACAGATGGGTTTTAATCCTCCTTTTTACACTATACAAAATCCCTTTAGTTAGTTAGCCAATATTTCTACTTAACCGCTTAAGGACTGCCCTATAGCAGATATACAGCTACAGGGTGGCTCCTCTGCGCAAAATTACGTGTATATAAATGTGAGACGCGGATATCAATCACCGGGTCCCAGCCAGTACTAACCTGCTGGCGCCCATTGATTACCAAGCAAAGATATGCAGCAGAATACATTTTGGCCTAAATTTATGATGAAATTTGATTTTTAAAAAAGTTACTGGACATGTTTAATAGCAAGAAGTGCGAAATATTGTGTTTGTGTTTTTTTTTTCTTAAAATTGTGAGTATTTTTTTGCTTATGATTCAAAAAATAAAAAACACACAGGTGATCAAATACCATTGAAAGAATGCTGAATTAGTGGGAAAAAAGTATGTAAATTTTTCATTTGGGTGCAGTCTTGCATGTCCGCGCACTTGTCAGTTAAAGTAACGCAGCGCCGTAACTCAAAAAATGGTCTGGTCAGGAAGGGGGGTAAATCTTCAGGAGGTCAAGTGGTTAAATAAGCTGACTGATTGCAACATTTGTGATACAAATTACAGAAAACATTTTTAGTTTGATATGTCATTATGATTCACTTATTTGTAATCTGTACTAGAGGTACCAGCAAATCTGGTCCAGGCTGTTTTAGAATGTATTTACAGTAAAAGCAATTAGGGATTAACCAAAATATCAGCGGCTCAAATGTATCAGCCGAAAATAGTATTATTGGCATTTTGCTGATAGGAAAAAAGGTGCCGATTAATGGCCGCCAAAGACGTGCATTTTTGCCCGCAGTCTTTAGGATGCTTGGTTTTCATAGGTCATGTGACTAAAAAAAATGCATCAAAACACAAGTGTGCATTTTTGATGGGTTTTCAATGCATTTCAGGCCTGGTTCACACAAATGCAGTTTGTGTATTGTCAGTTTTGCAGTGTTTTTGTGTTTGCATGTGCGTTTTTGATGCATTTTTTAATGCGTTTTTTTTTTTTTGTCCAACTTGTTGCTTGGCAGGATAAAAACGCATCAAAAATGCAACATGTGCCTCTTCAATGCATTTCAGGCCTTGTTCACACAAATGCCATATGCGTTTTGTCAATTTTGCAGTGTTTTGCAGTTTCTTTGTTTGTTTTTGGCCAATTTGTTGCTGGGCAGATTAAAAACGCATCAAAAACACACCAAACATTTGAAAATGTGTCCAACACGCTAGATGCGTTTTCTGCAGCGTCTCCATTGAAGTCTGTCGAACCAAAAATGCAGCATTTTTCATTTTAAAATGTGCCTGGCCCTTTCCAAAAACGCAGCAGCTCAAAAAATAATAGATGTGAACAGGTCCCATAGGAAACCATGCTAAATGGACTGTTGTGTGTTTTCTGCAGAAGGCCCTAAAAAAACGCATTGGTGTGAACAGGCCTCAATGAGGAGGGGTTTTTTTTTTTGGTTTTATTTGCCAAATATACAGCAAAAATGTGGCAAGAAGGATTTTTAACACTTCAAGGGAAGCACAATGGACCAGTGTGAAGACATACCTTAAATTTGAAGGGATGCAATTTTCTTGAGCTTTTCTTGTCTTTATTTATTTATTTTTTTTTTAACTCAAAAGCACTGCAAAAACTGCTCAGTGTGCACAGCCTGTTGTCCAAAAGGTGCTGAAAATAAATTCATGCTATTAAAATGTCAAAAACCCCCCCCCCCAAAAAAAAAAAAAAAAAAATATATATATATATATATATATATAATTTTTTTTTTTGTTTTTTTGGGGTTTTTTGACGTTTTAATAGCATGAATTTATTTTCAGCACCTTTTGGACAACAGGCTGTGCACACTGAGCAGTTTTTGCAGTGCTTTTGAGTTTTTTATTTATTTATTTTATTTAATTTAATTTAATTTTTTTTTTTTTAACTGTCCATTTTGGTTTGTTTTTGCCCAAATGCATCCTAAATGTTCAGTTTCAGTCTGATTAATTTTCTTTTCGGTGCATCACTAAAAGCAATGCATCTCTTTTTTAAATTTTTTCTTTACTCTGACTTCCCAAAAGGCCTGCAGGTATACATGACACAATTGCTTTTATTTCATTACTTTTTGGTAGAATGCATTTATTTTATATATTTATTATTATATTTTATAGTGTGTGTGTGTGTATGTGTATATGTGTGTATGTATGTATGTGTATGTATGTGTGTGTGTGTGTATCATATGTATGTGTATATTATAATGTATATATATATATATATATATATATATATATATATATATATATATCTCTAAAAATGTTTGTGTGGCATGTGCTAACTAAAATGACTTTCCATTTACCTTACAGAAAGCGTGGATGCCCATCAGCGAACTTTGGACTTAGGAATCCAGACTGGATGTCAGCGACGTAATAAAGAAGTTTTAGCCTGGGTTAAGAAACGACGACGAACTATTCGCCGAGAGGATTTGATCAGCTTTTTGTGTGGCAAAATTCCACCTCCACGTAACTCTCGTGCTCCACCGAGACTGACTGTTGTTTCCCCTAACCGAGCTACACCATCTGAAACTGGCTCTTCTGTAGAGACTGATTTGCAGCCCTTCCGAGAAGCAATAGCTCTCCATGGTAAGTGTTAGGTTTGAACTGAATATACTTAAAGCACGAACACTGCTGTTATGATGTGTATACTATAATATGCACAACAAAGAACATATGTCAGATTGAAAGTGACCATAAACTCAAGAGTTTCTACTTGAATACATTTTCCTAAACCAGAGTACCTTCTGTTTGCTCTGTCCCCTCCAAATTCTTTTCTACCTATAATTGGACTTTCTGTTATGGGGGCTACGTTCGTTCCAAGTGATCCCAGTGTAAGTAGGAGTGTAGCCATCCTTTTTTCAATCCAGAGATTGGCTAGGGACTATGGGATGTGTAGTGTGCATAGAGCAGTGCATGTGACCGCAACTAACACTACTTGTACTTCTTGGTTCAAACAAATGGAAGTGAGTGTAGAAAAAAAGTAGGTTCTGGAGCTCGTTACAAGAGAATGTTACAAGAATGCTGAAAAAACACAGTAAGAAACAGTTAATGAAAAATAGATTACAGGGCCGTTAAGTAGTGGATGTGCATGTCCCTTTTTTTTTAATTGGGATATTTTGTTTAGTGTCACTTTAAGATGAAATGTATTGATGTGATTGTTTAAAGTGTTTGTTTTGTAGCATATTACTGCCATTCAGTGGTGGAAGAGCTAGACACAGTGTTTTAATTTAACTTAAATTACGTCAAAATAACGAAAAAGACACCTAGCACGCTGTCTTCAGAGGGTCCGTCCCTCAAAAAGCATCAGCATTTACATCTGTGCTTGAGTGATATCTTGGCCTCTGTATGGGACTCTTGGTCTTGATGTCAGCACTCGGGTTCTAATATATTCAACACCTTTTTAGCCCGATGCTCTTTTGCGAGTATTTATTTTAATCTATTCTAAGGTAATGCACTAGGCTTTAGCACCCTTTGTTTTCAGCAGAAAGATTTTCCCAATTGAAAGAGGACAGCATTCCTGAATTATTACCCATCATGATGATTCTGTATTTTTACTCCTAAGCTCCTTCCATTCTTTGCAGCATTAATGTGTCAATCTTAGTTCCTTGGTTATCTTAAGATACACCTGTCATAAGAAAATTATGTAGGCTGCAGTTGCTGACCTCCTATTTTGAGAATCTCTCTTCCCTGGCTGTCATGCTAATAGTTCAACTTCAAAGCTTTGATTCACTGACCTGAAATAAACATAACAATAAGACATTCTCTGAGCCTCATTTATACCATACATGTTCTGTGTCTGTGTCTTACAAGTGTTAGCCCGACAGCTAAGAAGCTAGCATTTTCAGGAGACGGCTAGCAGTGACCACAACATATTTCTATCATAAGTGTGTTTTAACTAGGGGCCAGCTAGGTGTGTTTTTTATATGGACAGTCAGTAATGCATTGCATCTCACACCCTGTATCTCTAAGGGTGAAATTTGTCATCTTAGCAGAGTGAAATGTGTCATAAAAGCAAAATGATAATTGTAGGCAAATGAAAAAGTTTTTAGGTTCATTATTGAAATTGGCAGGCAAAACACTTAGATTGTAAGCTCTAACAAGCAGGGTCCTCTGTTTCCTCTTGCACAAACTGTATTGTAACTGTGATGTCTACCTTCACTTTGTAAAGTGCTGCACAAACTGTTGGTGCTATATAAATCCTGTACAATAATAATAATGTATTTTTCTTTATTTGCAGGACTGAGTGGGTGCAATGGCTAGTATTAGTGTCCCGCTCAAGTACTCCAGGCTCACCAACTCATGTTAGCGGCAGTTCTACCAGTAGCCGCAGGAGAAATGGACTCCTTGATGTTGATTTGAACACTTTCATATCAGAGGAAATGGCACTCCACTTAGATAGTGGCAACCGCAAACGTACCTCAGCCCAATGCGGCGACGTCATTACAGACTCGCCAACTCACAAACGCAACCGACTTATGTAAATCTGCAGAAGACTCTACCACCATGCTGCTTTGAAGCCACTTTTAATCCTCAACATACTGTTTAAAAGGAAACATGAGGCCCATCTTCCCTTTTCACTGTTAAAGACCCTTGAATTATTAAATAATTGCTGTTAAGCGAGCTCCTGCTATTGTAATTGTGGTTTTCTTTAAACTATACACCCAGCACAGGACGTCTGGTTTGTGTAATATTTGGAAAGATTATCATAACGTGAACATCAGTTCATTCAGTGCAAAGTGACCTTACTTGTCTCTAAAAGGGAAAATGTAAATTGTTGGATAGTTTTTTTTTTTTTTTTAATATAACTCCCCAACTGGTCTGAGTATTTTTGCTTCAACAGTATTGCAATTTTGGATTTGCCTAACTCCGCTGTGCAAGTCAGTCAGTTCCATTCCTTTGCAGGCACCTAGTTACTACAATTATACTGCATTTTTTCTTACATATTATGGTGATCATGTCCAGAGGTGCTATGGTAATGCTAATAATAATAATAATATAATAATAAACAGTCGATTGGTGCCAGGCACTTTTCACTGGATTAATTTTGTTTTAGTGCTGTCCTTTTACCAATATTAAATCTCCTCCCAGATTACTCTTAATAGGCTTTTAATATTGTCAGTTTAAACACATTTATGCTCATACTTATATGCTGGTTGTATCATTGTGGGGTAAATGTAAACTGTGTAAATCATCCTAAAGTTGACATCCCCATACATTGTTTTAAACATGTTTTTTAACCTTGGTTTATCTGTGTTCAGTAAGATTGATTTACAGGTTAGTTCTGTCTATAGGCTGCATATTTTCTAATTATGATTGCAAATGCTTTTCTTTCCATCATTGCCTTTTTCCCATACAGTCAAAAATCCGCTTGGGATTGTGTACGTTGTATTCATTTAAAATAACCGAAAATGTAAAACTTGGAGCATACTTGCAAATGTGGCTACCTACTGTCTTCCTGTAACATTTGTGGACCCTGGCAGGAAAACCTCTTCTAAATACAAGGTGCTGCTCAAAATCAGTTCTGTTTTGCTGTGTGATTACACATCCTCTCTTGTGTTTTCCATTTATTCCAAAGGATATTCCAGCAAGGGGACACATAAGCACCTTGTTCTGTATAAAGCCTGGCAATAAATAGCAAAGCCTTTTAGGTGACAGAGGTAGGGTGAGGAGATATCTCCCTACCAGGGTTCCAAAATGTTGAAAGACGATCCTGCAATCTAAAGCATCTGTTTTCATGACTTGTTTTGAATGGTTCAATATTGATCTTGTGTCACAACATTGGCCTTTCTTCTAAATTTCTATCTGAATGTGGAGTGTGTTTTAAATGCATGTTGTAGCATCTGCCCTAGACCGCTCAATGATTTAAAATTTTTTTTTTTTTGCCCAACATTTTGACGATTTGTAAATTATATCCACAGTGTTGTATAGTGAACCTGTACTTTGCCCTTATGAGCAATGTAACAGGTTCACTTTACAAGAAGGGCTTTGAAACTGGCTTTATTTTTCTCCAACTTTAAGTTGCTGAGCACTCTCCCACTGCCTCTGCATATTACAATGCTTGGGCTTGACGTTTGGGCCATTCATGCACATAGAACTGTGTTGTGGGAAGGCGGTCATTTATACTTTGTACTCCCACTTCCTCCCCCCCGCCCCCCCTTCCTCGGGTTGTCTTTTGGGGAAGTTATGTTTTATAGGATGCAACAAGTCCTTCCTGTAAAGTAAGCCTTTTATAGGCCTCGTTTACATTAGCAGTGCCCTCTGAAGAGTGATACTGGGTTGGATCACTTTTCAGAGGACATTTGGCAGGCAGGGAGTTGATTGTTTTATCACCTTCTTCTTACCTCCCATTTTAACCCTTTAAACCCCACACCAGCACGCTGCAACTGCATACATTTAAAGGCAGTTGTGAGGTTCCCCCATTAAGGTTGAATGGGCCACATTCAATGGGTGGTACTGACCAGTAAAATGTGACTTGGTGGCATGTGTATACCCCCCCTCTGCTGCCTTTTCAGCTTAAGCAGAGCAGTGGGGGTCGGTAGAAATGTGGCTGAACCATGCCTTTTTTTTTTTTTTTTTTACTGCACCCCAACCTGAAGTGTAAACGAGGCCTTACTTTGTCCTCTATGAGCAAAGCACAGGTTCACTTTAAAATTTCTCTTCATGCATAGTTAACTTATTCAGATAATATATACCTAATGAAATTTATAAAGCTTTACAGACAAATGTCCATTGTTTACCTTCTTTCAGCTTACAGCAAAGTGAACACTATTTGATTTTTGCTAAAAGACTCCTGTGGTCCTTTTGCATAGTACAGATCATTCTATAAATAAACCAGTAAAAAGGGCTACTGAGGTTTGATTCCTTTTACTTATAATTTAGTGTCAACAATTTTGTTCTTTGGTGACTTGAGAAATATTCAGCCTTGTTCTAGCTTGTTGAATGGAACTTTGATCTCCATACTTTTTAATGTGGGATTGTCATATACAAAACCTTATAACCCGTCATGAAATCAATTGGCCTTAACTTGCCATTTTTAGACTTAGATTTGTTTGTCACCAGAGTTCATCTGTGATAGTGTGTCAAGAGAACTTCATTTTTATGGCAATAAAGGCACTCCTGCGAATGGTGGTGAAATGGCTTGGTGGTCGGGTCTCAAGATGGTTAAACACACACACACACACTGGAGTGCCTTATTTGTGTACTGTGACATTTTCAAAAGCTATTTGCACATGTTCAGTGGTTATAACAAAAAATATTGCGTGCATGTCTAATGCTGCTTAAAAAGATGTTCATGATTAATTGGTGGCATTCAACAGTCTGTTAGAAGTTAGTCATTTGCTTTTATGTTTATCCTTCTGAAAAACTAAACTACTTACTTTTATATCTTACTGCTGTATGTAACCAGGCAAACAAAATGATAATTTCTCATTAATTGCAGTCTGTGAGCAGATATATAAATGCGACCTTGCTCTGCTCTTATAGATTTATGTAAGGAATATTGTACTAATTGGGACTTGCAAAACCTAAAGTGGAACGACAGGCTATATAATTATTAGTATTTTTTTTTTTTTTTTGGTTTGGGGATTGGTGGTGGCTTCTGTTAGAATTTCAACATTGTCCAGGTTCCCTGCGCACTTCATGTCCTGTAGGAGTGGTTATTGCCAAAGAAGGGGGAAGAAGTCTTCAAAGCGGTTTAATTCCCAAAAGCAAACATTTACTATATTACAGCTTGCCAAATATTATGTGATGGCTGCATAAGTTTTATTTATTTTAGGTTTTCTTTTCTTTATCTTCACTAGGTGATTCTGCCTGTAAAGTAGGGCACGCACTGAGAAAATTGGGAGAATAATTCTGTATGAGGCACGATTGTTTGATTTTTGTATACTTTGTACACCACTTTTTCCATCCGATTCAGACTCTCCAAAAGAACATTTCAGAAGGGAGAAACTCCAGAAAATTTTCTCGTACTTGAACAGAGCTAACTTTTTTTGTTTGATATGTAATGTTTTTGTATGACAAAAATCAGCTACGTAAGACTGTGAATGATCAGAAACAAACCAAAAAAGCCTTTTGTCGTATGAGAATTTTTGTATGATTAGAACCATCTTGGTTTCGTCCTGCTGCGAAACATCGAGGAAAACCAGATGACAGTTTGTCTGATTTTCTTATAGTGTGTACTAGTCTTGAAGCAGAGTTCCAGCCATTTTTGTGTGTATTTAAAAGTCAGCAGCTACAAAAATTGTAGCTGCTGACTTTTAATAAACACACAATTACCTGTCCCAGAGTTCAGCGATGTTTTCACCTGTACGGTCTCTTCCTCCTCCATTGCGCCAGCATCTCAACTGTGGGTACCAGGCTATGACCACTTGTGGCTTCGCAGCCTGGTGCCCAATGCACATGCTTGAGTCGGCTGCACCTCCTGATTGGTCTGGCAGTCTTCTGCGACTTGTGAAAGCTCTCGGGAGACTGCGGGAGGGAGGAGGGGGCTGAACTTCTTGCTCACTGAGGTGGGAGTGGGTACCTGTCAAACAGGTATCTGCTCCTCCCAAAAGGTGCCAAATATGGCAGTGGAGGGGAGAGAAGCAAATAAGCGGAGCTTCTGCTTTTGAGTGGAACTCGGCTGTAAGTCTGTTGGTTTTTCAACAGAACAAGCTCTCCTGCAAATGATCAGTTAGTGTTTGAGACAAACCATTTACCTCTGACAGGGGTGCTTACAATGCTCAGCTTCTAGTTTATGTAAAACCTTTATCCCACGAGGAAAAAAAAAAACTGCTTAACTACAGTATGAGCTGGAATTGGGCTTGAATGTGATCATTTTTTGCGTATTCATGTAAAATCTTTCTCCCAAAACGAAAAAAAAAGTTTGTGGTAACTGCTTTCAAAGTGTTTATCTAGAGTTTGGCTTCAATTGATGTATGTAAATCTGCTAGTACATCTAACATGCCCCTCCCCCCCCAGATTCACAATGCTGCTGTCCAAAAGTGCCCGGTGTTCCTTCAGCCAGAGTGAAGGCACTCTAATACAGGAGGTGTTACGATCCAGATCACCAGGTAAAAAGGGGGGGAAAGCCTAAATAAAAAAAAAAAAACTAATGCAGCCACCACATTGAAATATTTGAAAGCTGACATGTATTACATTTTTGTTTTTTTTAACACTTCTTTGATTTACCCTCACTTCACAGCAAGATGGATGGAAGTTTTCCTCATGCAGACATGACAAAATCTTGGCAGAGGTCCAAACGGCTCCCTATTCTCCCCCCTCTTTTATTTTTTTTAATCTGGTGTTCCACTTTAAGTTTCTCAGAATTATAAATAATCCAGGCAGTTCTGTAAACAGGAGGCTCTAATGAATAATGTCTTAGTTGGTGAGTTGTAACAGTCCTTTGACAATTTTCCACTTATAAAGTGCAGCTGTCAAACCTGGGAAATAACATCTCTCCTGTGTCTGTGACAATCGTTCCATTTGGTATTGCACATATCTG